ATGCAGCATATCCCTTTACTTGAAAAGAACAGTCTTAAAAAAGTAAGGTCCCAGTTCCGTGTAAATTTTAAAATAAGTGTACTTTAACTCCTGTCAGTGATGGTCTTTCTCAGGGCTTTTTTTTGTACATGGAGCTTTATTATAAGTACTTCCTGAACTATGGAATTATTTTAATTATTGAAGAAGATATTAAGTCTAAATGGAAATTGATCACAAAATGGAAATTGAATTTTAGTGGAGGCAATTAAAAATAGCATAGAAGAACCTCTGTATTGGAATAATTAGACAGTTACAGGGAAATATCATGGATGAACAAGTGACAAAAAAAAATCATGTGAAAATGTTCAGCATCAATGGAAGTGTATAGATTCTTCTATTATTTCCTCACTGCCTTCATTACTGTTGCCTTGGGCATGATTCCATTTAACAGAGGGTCACAAAGTTTTTGCATACTCAGACCTCACAAATCAGGAAGGATTCTAATCACCCCAAATTTTATTATAGAGAAGCCATCTCTGAAACCACAGGCAACACTGCCAGAATATTTGGGGAGATAAGGACATTTAAGAGAAATAAAATTATCTGAAATATTCTTCTTCATAAATGAAGGTAATTTAGAATAGGGAAGAACTAATGAGCTGTAAGAGGTCAGAAATTAGCAGTCATATCTCACTGATGCTGTGACTGGTTGCAGTTCAACTAAAACAAAGATGTTACTTGAAATAATAGCAATAAGTGTAATTGAAAATCACTGATAAAAGACAAAAACCAAGGAGAAACTTTGAGTAAAACATTCTTTTTCTATGCCCATGGTTTTCAAACAGGTGTGGCAGCAGTTTGACACCATGCAAGCTGGTACACCAGGCAATCTTGACATGTCATAATGTCATATAGTGTTTGCTCTGCTGTTTCTTACTGCTCTATCCCCTAAGGCAGCTAAAAATACTTTCCTGCTATCACTTTTTATGTAAACAGGTGTTTTAATGGCTAGTGATGACAACTGAGATGGGAACATCCGTAAGTTTTCTATTTGACATTTATTCTATGTTGCTTCTAAATACACCTGTTCCTGCAGCTCTAGGTTAGTTTTCTTGGTGGTATGCTGGTTGCAGTTATGTCTTGAAAGTCTTGAGAAGCTAAATTCTGCTTCATGTGTATTTTTTTTGTCCTTTGGAGTTTGTGAGAATAATCACCTTTGACTCATGTCTATGAATTTTCAGTGAATAAGCTGCATTACCATATGCCAGTAGAGACTTTACTTACAAAAGGAGGAAAAAAGGTAGTTAAGTAATCAGCATGTATTCATTGTGCTTTGCCCTCTGTGCTCCAGGCACTCAAAAACAACAGTATACTGCAGGAATTCTCTCTCTTTTCAGTGTCTCTGATAATTACCAACAACTTTTATACAGGAAATTTGTGTGTCTGAAATATTGAAAGGATTTGTTCTTGCCTGAAACGTTGCTGATGGATGTAATAGGTAACGTATAATAGCAACATTTTCTTATAATTTATTATTCTCTATCTCTTTTTTTTTTTTTCATCTAATTTCTCCAGTCTACTAGTTTCTCATATTACTACTAGGCCTGGGGACATTTTACCAGAGCAAAATAATAGCTGCTGGAGACAGGAAAGCAGGTTGGCTTGCTTCTATTTGCATTCGAAGGAAGGGAGGCAGGAGCAGTATTTTTCCTAGTGCTTTCACTGAAGCATGTTAATTAAATATTGCAAATTATATAATTTCTTATGGATTCCTTAAGAGATTGTTTCAAGGTAAAGTATTTTGTACTATTGTGTTCCTTTTTTTTCTTTCATTTTACTTCTGCCTTTTCTTTTCTCCTTTTAAGTCTTCCTACACCGTGGACCACTTAATCTCTTCCTTTCCCTTAAGCAGTAACAGATTTAGTTCCTTCAGTAAGTTTGTTATTTTCCTAAGAAGTTATTTTCTAATTTCTATTTTATCTGAGGTATGTATTTTCTTTTTTTCAGTTTCTAAAGTAGCTTGCATATGTTGGCTTAATGTCATTTTTAGAATTCTCTTTGAACTGCTAATGACTTATTGTCAAAGCAATAGTCATTAGCAATAGGACATGGGATCCCTGCCATACCACATATGCAATTACTGTCATAATATTCACCTTATATTAAAATCTAAGAGATTTTCTATTCAACAAAAGAAGTCCATTGCCAGATCCATTACAAGTCTCTCTAAGTGTCTTCTTTCTGTTAAATAGCTATTTATATTAGTTCTGTGTAGTGGATCAATTATTAGAACACTGTAGAATTCATGACTAATGGAGTAGGCCTTGTGAAAAGATCATTTATTCGTGTTTTACAGGGAGTGTAGTATGTTCCTTGGTAAGATACTGTAAAATAAAAGTAACAATAAATACTAAGTTAGCACAGAGTATTTTCAAGGCTCATCACATTTTTCTGATGATGTAATCACAAAAACCTTTCTTTCACTAAAGACACTGGAACTGTAATTTCAGAGTGTGATTGTTAGAGGTTAGAATCAAATATTTATTTTAAGCTTATTGTTCTCTATAACCTTGTTTTTCTAGTTATCATTTCTTATGGTATATTCAAACCCTGATAAATATTTCTACTATTTATAACCTGGTATTACACACGTATTCAAACTTCTATCAGATCAATTAATGGCATTTTATATTACAAGAAAAATACCTTAATTACAGGGGTTTTTATCTCTTTTTGAAACAAGCCAAACAGAATAGACCTCTAAACCTGCCTCGCTTCAAGTGTTATTCAGTTCCACTGATTTTGTTGCATTTTTTTCATATCAGGCAGGTATTATGCTCTTTATAAGATGAGTTTACTTGCATTTTAAAAATAATTAAATGAATGTGTTTGGACTAGATAATTGTATATCCCTTCCAACTGAATGATTCTACTTTATTATAAATAAATAAATAAACTGGTTCCCTAGAATTTTAGAGAAATACTTATGTCTGGTTCCATACTGGTTCCTGGAAAAATCTATTTTTTAAGACCATTTTAAAGGAATAAGGTCCTTAGGTCAAGATTCAGGCTGAGAGTTTGAGAAAAGTAATTTTTGAAAAAAATATCATGTGGATTTTCTGTGAGTTTAATCCCTATGCTTTGGATTGAACTGTGTAGAAAAATCGTGTCCGTGCATCTTTGGAATTTAAGGGAGAGCTAAAAAGAATTTTTATTTGTGGAAGACTTTTCATGATAACCATGGTAGTCTGTGAGCAAAGATTAAAAACTCTCTCCTAATGAACCTATTCCTCTTCATAAACCCACAGGTATTAAAGTGAAAGAGAAGATGAGCTTCTTTTAAATTTATAATGTCAAGAAGAGAGAGACATTTACTGCCATGTAGTAACATATATAAAAGGTTAATCTTGGTCCAGAAATCCAAGTAGAATAGTAAAAGCAATGATTGGTTACATAAAGTATTTCTGAAATTATGGACTTCAGAAACATTTCATAATCTTCATTTTCTTGCAGCACTCAGTAAACAAGGCAGAGATTTTCTGCCTTTGTTAACTAAAAATACTTCATGGAGAACTACAGAATAATTAATCATCCTGCAGGATTTGGAGTTTTCAAAGGCATATTTCTGAGCTACTAATCCATTCCTGAAAGGGTTTTCTGAGTTTTTGCTCTCTCATGAGCTTGGTTCTTAGTAGCCCAAATCTGCACAGAAAAATAATACAACACTTTTCTTAATCTTGGCATTTTCTGTTCCAAATCCTTTTATATAAGTAGTTTTCAATTAACTTGCATTTTGAATTATTTTTTGGCACAGAATCTGGGTTTTTTCAGGTCAGTTTGCATCAACATAAATAGCGTCAAATGTCCTTTTTATTTTTATTTTTGTGGAGAAGGCTTGAACTCAAATATAGAGTCTGATCAAGTGACATTAACATAAATTTATATTTTTCTATTGATATTACTATGTTTTCATCCAGGCCTTTAGATATTCTTTGTCTCTAGATTTTTGTATTGCACAGTTAAGTCTTCTCAGATGTTCTAGAAACCAGCAGTGGCAATGATATTGTCATTTACTTTGCTTTATTTGACACTTTCAGCTGTGTAGTGGGTATAGTTGTGAGTAAAATAACATAGGACTCAAAGGAAATTAGTCTCAACTAAACAAGAAAGACCTCTATAAATTAGCACCCTGTGGTTCCAGCAAAAATGATACAGGACCCTGTAGTTCCTGTGTGGCATCCCTTGTTTATTTGCTGAGTAGCACTGGAGTGAATGGACACTGACTCATGACTTTAGATCAGCTTGCTGTTTTCTTAAAACTCTGACATTTGTGGCAAGAAAAAGAAGAACTTTATTTCTGCATTTTATATCTTCAGCAGATAATTTATCCTTCTATCTATTTAGCACTCACCAGAAGTGTTCACCAGTTGATACACTCACCATAAAATGTAGAATGTAGTAACATTCACCAAAACAAAATCTCTGATCCCTCCACTCTGTAATGAGTTGTTTAACTCAAATTCTTTTTTCCTCTGTAAAAGCAGTCACATTGTTTATACCTGAAAAGAAAAAAAACAACACCTCTGGCATCACATTAATCTGTGGACCCCAAACCCAAATGGACTCAAGGTGAGCCTGGGGACAGCAGAGGATCAGTGAACAAAGGTAGGCAGCATTTTTTGTTAAGCAATATTTCAAATTCTTCTTACCATTTTTCATACTCTGGGATTTATAATTTTTAAAAAATATCCACAACAAATTTTTTTATTCAACAGACCTGAGTTCAAATCATTTCACTGTTGTACTAGATGAGATTTAAAAAAAATCAGTACAAGAATAACAAAGGTGTTGTGCTCTCTGGATTTTTTTTTTTTTTTTACATATAGTATAAAGAAAAGCTTTAGTGTCATAATGTTCATGTTGAAATAGTTTAGGTGTGCTCTATGTCTTTACTGTTTCTATAAAAACTTTTAATTGCTTTTTTTTTTCTGTGGTTTTTTTTTAAAAAAAAAAAGTGAATAGAAAGTAAGGATATTCTTCTGTGAAAAAAGTAATGCCTCAAATGCTTCCACAGGATTAATTTCAAGATCTGATTGTTATGGAAGATACCACAAGGTAACCACAACGCTGACAAATCATGGATGTGGAGATCAGAGGTGCAACCAAGTATCTCTAAGCCTTCAGGGACATGAAAGTGTATTAATTGTGGCATTCACACACCCTTTAGATATTTACTCTTGTTTTTAAGAATTTGTATTACTTTGGAGGAGAACTGAAATTGAGGACTGGCTGAATGGCAGATCCCAGAGGATTGTAATTGGTGACACAGGGTCTAGTCAGAAGTCTGTTATAAATGGTGTCTCTCAAGGGTCAATACTGGACCCAGAAGTAGACTTTAAATCTTAGATTGAACTTAGATTTAATCTTAAATTGAAAAAACAGTTATAAACTCTGCCAGATTTCACCGAAATAAAAGCAGTAGGGTTCTTCCCTAGGACAGGTTTCTGACAAGTTTTAAATCTCTTTTTAAGCTCAATTGATTTTTGTTTTGTTCTGAATTTGTTCAAGTTACTGTTCATAGATTCTCCCCTCTGTTACCAATTTCTATTAAATCTGTGCTCTCATTGTTTTTTAATAAAAACTAGATTTCAAATAGCAAGTCCATTAGTCAGAGTAGCATAAGAAGGAGTCCACAAAACATTTTAAAATTAACCATTTAAAATTGATCGTTATAACTCTTGGTTACCTGCAGTTATTTTTTGTCTGGGGTCCAAGGTATAAGCTCAAACCCAACACCTTTGTGCACAGCATTTAGTTGTTGTTCTCTTTGGAAAAAACCTTATAGTAACTTAGCTCTACTTCTGCTAATTTTTTTTTATTATTTTTATGTTTAGAACTTTTATCTTTCACAGCTCTTGCAGCCTCTTACCTGCTCTATAATTATTGCCTCTATTGAAAAGATTACTAACTGTAATTCATCTCCCTCTCATTTTCACTTCTGCAACTTAAAATGATGCCTTTTTTGGCTGTTACTCTATTAGAAAAAATTGGAGGTTGGTGGAATTTTGAAATACAATTGGTTTAGTTTCAGCTCAAGTCTTATTACAGTCCTGAGATGTTATGGTGAAGGTATATAAAATAATCTCAAACAAAAGGAAAAAGAAACATAGATCATGGTAAATACAGCTGTGCTTGATGCTGTTATTTAAGATATAAACCTAAAAGCCAATAAAGAAATTAAGCATTTAGCTGGATTGAATAAAGCGGATACATTTATACCCAACTCTAAATATGGAAGTAAGCATACCAATAAAGAAAGCCATTTAGCAAAAAAACCATTACTTGGATGTGGAAATTTGATTTGGGATAAATTATTCTAAGAATAATGAAACAAGAGAAGAGTACAGGCATGTGTAAAACAGGAGCTTGCTAAGCTCTCAGTTGCCAGATGTCATTTTAATACACCAACTAAAATGAAAGAGGAAGAAGCCTCAGCTAGAGAAAGGCATGCCAGTATTAGAAGGAGGAAGACAATGCACATATTTATTGGCTCAGCTGAAGACAGCACTTTGTTCTGCTTTATAATGTACCATGACTGTGCTTTGGAAAGCCAATGGGCAATGCACTCCCCTTCAGCATTTCCCTGTACTGCATCTGAAAGAGCAATGGTGGGGTGGTGGCATGTGGTAGCTCTTCCCACAACTCATCAACGAGGAAATAATACCCTAATCTCACCTTTACAAAAGGAGCAAATGGTCAAAGCAGACTTGCCACAGGAAAACAGTAAACTGCACCATTGGAGAATTACGCCATGGTAACTTTTTAGATTCCTAATGTGATAAATTTTAATTAGCAAAATTATGAAAGTTTCTCTGTTTTCATAGGGCAAGTGCAGTGTTGAATACCAAAAGATTACTCAGCTATATCCATTAATTGGGGATGACTTAGTATTGAGTTCTCAGTAGAATATTCATGAAAATTTGAAAAGAAATAAAGAGGAAGAAATAGAGAGGAGGATTTTTCTCTGCAGAGGTCAGGAGTCCAAAGTAAGATCTCTCTTCAAAAAGAAAAAGGAGATAGGATTTTCCTTAATTCTCTAACAAGAAATGGCAGGAAGCTCAGTTGACACATGCATATTTTAATTTTTTAGGAGAGAAAAAGAAGGAATTTTGAGTGATAAGGTATAAAAGCAGACTGAAATCAAGAACAGGTATGCACACAGCTGCTAGTGGCTTTCTTTTAATGTGTTTTTTTAATGTCTTTGTTGTTAAACCAAATTCTGCATTATTTATATTTGTGCGCAGAGAGGAAATACAGGTAAAAATGGTACTGTGTTTGTTGGGAAAAATACAGCATGAAATTGATGGATAAAAAAGAATTTTGCTGTGAACAAAAACAAAAGGCAGGAAACAAGTATGATCCAGGCTTAGCAACTTCACTGAATGAGAAATGAAGTTATTGGAAACAGATAAGAAAGAAAATAATGGAAATCAAACAACACCAAAGAAAGTGAGATTGCTAAGCTAAAAAAATAACAAAAAAGGGTCTAAAAAACCTAAAGAAGTATATATATATATATATGCTTTAAAAGTGTAAATCAATTAGTAAGATAGTAAAGAAACTAATATTGTAGGATTTATGTCAGAGTAATAATTGCAAAAAATATATTTGCAGGGAAATGAATGAGTTAACAGTGCTATTTCCAGTATGACAAGTAGGAAAACAGAACAAATTATATTTCAGCTACCTGGGAAATAACATAAGTGTGATGGAAGCAATGGAAGAGAGTGAGGAGTAAGTTTTTATTTTCTCTGTCTCCTAGTTCTTTGGCAGTGAGGTGAAATTGCCATTTCACCTGGGCATCACATCACCTACAGAAGGTGGATTTTGATATTCTCTCTTCATTTCCATTATTTAATAAGGGATAGGTTGTTTTTTCCTTTGTGAGCACATTGCTGCAGCTGTAGCCTTGCTCTGTATCTGTGCACGTATTGACTATGAAAATGTTTTGGCCACTGCTGCAGAACAGATGTGCTTAAACTTCCTCCTGGAGAAACTCCCCAAAGAGATCAAACTGGTTTAGATTCAAAAATAAATTTTATTCCAAAATAGAAGTCTAAGTGTATTGACTTTCAAAATGAAAACAACTCAAAGCAATGAATAAGAAAACAAAAATGGAGAGTTTTATATGCTGCCCATTTTGTCTCTGTAGACTGGAACTTACTTTTGTGTTTCAATTCAATTAGTTTGATACTTTCTGCAAAGCAGCAAAATTTGATCCTTTCCCCTCTGTCCCAGAAATGCCCTATCCTCTGTGTTTGTGGCCTTGCTACCAGACTTGTCTCTCTGCTGTCTTTTAACCTCTACATGAGCTCCAGCCTTCAGGCTGGATCTTGCTTGCCAGCTCAGCAACCTTTCCTACCCTGCATACACTCAGAAATTCCCTGATGACATGAGTGGCATTCTTTTCCAAAGGGCTCTGTTGGAGCCAGCCTCTCCTTAAGGCAAGGAGAGAAATATGCTTGGGAACACAGACATAAATTTTAGCAAACATGGTCAAGTGTGCAAGTACAATTGTCTACTATAGACTGAAACACTGTATATTTCAGGATGGATACCTGATGCATTTTTATTCAGATTTTTTTTGGGTTTTTTTTATATTTAATTCTTCAATTGCCTTAAAATTGCATTAGCATACCTTTTACTTATTGGATGAGGCTTGATTTGAATTACTGGGAGGCTATGTGTTATTAATAAAATGTAGTTAATGTTTCAAAATAATTTTAGCTTCTTGTTAAAGTAAGCTTCTTTTATGGTGGTGGTAATTTTGCTAGCCTTTAACTAGCCTTGAAACACTCCTTAGTGAAAACAATTTCTAGGACATTTATCAGACAATTAAAATTGAGATGTCTGGGCAGGTTTTCTAATGAAGTATTAATACTGTACACTTTTATTTCTTTGGTTTGCTGTTATGTTTGTATGTTTTGTCATGCTATTTTGTAAGTCTTTTATCAAATGCTACATTGGTAACCCCCTTTCCAACCTGTCCTTTGCAGTTTGGAGTGCTTTGCTTGTTTTGTGCTCTTGCCACTTCTCTTCCTACAGATTAAACCACTTGTACAGAAGCAGTCAATAGCAGTACCTGATGGTGATGGGAGCACAGAGCAAAAAAAGGAGGATTTTCTACAGCTCAGAATCTCAGGCAAGAATGTAATTTCACTGTGGATAAAACACAAACACAACAACCCAAACCTGCAAATCAAAACTAAAGAGACATAGCCAATTCAACCAAACAATACTAATCTAGATGGCTAAAGATCTAATATCACCTAGACTGAGAAAAGTAACCTTGCTATAAATTCATAAACTACGTTCTTTTAGTTTTCCTTTTAATCTTTTTTTTTATATGTATTCTTAAAGATTGTTACCTACATGAGTTCACTGAGTTGCAAATATTTGGTGTAAATTATCCCTTTTCATGTTTCTACAGAATAGTTTCGTTGAATGGTAAAAGATAGAGAATTTCAGCTGCTTCATTGAACAATCTTCATGTAAAATGACTGGCAGAGTATATTTAGAAGAGGTAAGAAAAGAGGAAGAAAAAACGAGTTCTTGTTGCTATTAAAACTGTTGCAGATCAAATTTATTGGAAAAGTAAAACATTTCAAAGGCTTTAATTTCATTGTATATTAAGATGCAGTCCATTGATAACAAGTGGTTCTTGAGGACACGCTTTTTTCTCCATAGATAATTTCCTAAAACAAGTACAAATTATAAATCTGTCTCAGCAATATGTTTCATGTCTTGTAGATCAGAAAATGTTCTTCAGCTGGATGACTTCAGTGCTACAGAAGCTGTATATAGCAAAGCAAAAGAAAGGAGTCAGGGAGGAGAAAAGAACAGTAACAAGGAGAAACTCATCATTTTTGCTTCTACCTCTGAATGGGGGCTGGTGTCTCTCTAGGAATCAAGGTGCTCAAGGTCCCTTGAGGCAAAAGAAAATAAATTGCCAGTAGCAGACAAGGAGAATGCAATTGTATATAAGGTGGGTGAAGAGAAGAATCTCTTTGTGATTGCTTTCTAAACCATCAAGAGGGTCTGGAGTAGGACAGCCAAGTGGTATATTTTTCACTTTACATATTTTGTTCGTGGCTGTGTAATTTACATATAAAATTCATAATACTGTATATTCAAAAATGATGATCAAACCTGGTTTGCAAATTACAAAATGTGTCTATCATTAGATAATGTGATTTACTGTGCTACTATGTTATGCTTAGCTCAATTCTTAAGGAATATCATAGACAGTGATTTGGAAAAGCTCCCCCTCCACAGCAGAAATATAATAATTTCTTTCCTAAGCAGAAACAGTAAGAGCCGTTAAATATGTTGTCAATGCATAATTTGCATTTTAATAGTGATGAAAGTATCCTGATAAATTACAGTTTTCTTCCTTTTTAAATCATGCATATAACTCCTGAATGTTGTATAATATTATCACTGTATCATAGAGATTTTCAGCTTTATCTAATATCATTTGTTATAAGCACCAAGATCGAGCTTGTGCTGGATGAGCTCTTCCTGATTAACAGATAATCATAATTTTTTCATTTCTGCAGCTAATGTCACAACAAGAATAATATTACTTAAAATAAGTATCACTTTGAAAAGAGGAGAAAAAAAAATATTTCACTTTAACATATTATTTTCCTCTTGCAAATTTTCCTTGTCAGGTTCTTCATAGAACATGCTGTTCTCTCTCGTGACACAATGCCTAACAGTAATATTTAATTCTGTAAAAAAGACTGAAACATGTCTAGAAAATAGACTGCATTTCATGACTCAACAGTGTCTTTCTCATCCTGGACTTTCTCTCTTTATTCAAATTCACACATTTGAGATGGTTCCTAACAGCCTTTTATAGCAGCATAAGGTAGTGTAAAAGGTACAAGCACAGACTAAAAGCATTCTACCTGACTACACATGCAGGCCTTTTTCCTGTTTCACTAACACTTAACTTGAAAAAAATATTACAAAGTAGAGGATCATTACTTTAGACTGAGTGAAAAGCACCTCTTCATCTAGAAGAGGTCAAAGTAGATGAGACAGTGAATGTTTGGAGAGAGGGGAAGAACAGTTACCTCACTCATGACCGCCGACACATCTTTTGTGCTCATTCAGGAGAAATGTGTAGGTGTATTCGAGCTGCTTTTAGTGAGAGGGTACTTTTCTATGAAAGTTTCTTCTGGCTAAGTTCACTTAAGAACAGGTAGTGTTTTTCTTTTCTCCTGCAGTCAGGGGTCGGGAGATTTTTAACTGCTGGTAAAATGCAGTGAAAGGCTCCATGCTCTAAGGCTGTAATAGTTGCTAGTTGCTCTGGGGAAACCTGTAAATACAATGCTGCCTCTATCCACATGCTCCACATAGCTCAGGAAATCCATGGTATGGCCATATCTGAGCTTTCAGTATAAGACCTATAACTTTCTTTGTGGCATGATGGTTCCCCTCATCATTATTGCTTTCTAAAAATGTAATAATACAGTTTGAGAGAATGCAAAATACTGGTTGCTGGGCAGTTACTCAAGAATAGGATGAATCTTTTCCATCAGAAAGGGACATTACAGGTAAGATATACCATTGTGTGTGGTTTCTGACCTTCTGTGAGTTAAAAACACAAGCAAATTAAAAACAAACAAACAAACAAAATACTCCAAACAAAAAAAAAAAATCCACTGAAACAAACCAAAAAACAAACTCATAGAAGCTTCAAAAATCACAATTCTTAATTAGAAGGACAAGGCCTACATTTGGAATACTTAACAGCACTTGTGAGTAAAAGTGTTCCTTAATCCAAAAGGAGGATCAACCAGGGACTATGATATAAGACCTTGGATGGCACATAAAAACTGATGTGTTCTTACCTGCTTCTAAAATCCTTGCAGCTATGGTTTTATAGCTGAACTATTAGTTTATTTTTATTCTAGGAATGACACATCTGCACTTCACTTTATCCCCAGGCTTAAACATATTATGCTTTAACTACTATTACACCATCTCTTTCATCCCATGGCAGACATATCACTTTGATTTTATTTAGTTTTACTGAGTGCTTATTTTATGACAGGTTTCTGTTTTGTTTGGATTGGGAGGGGGAGGGAGTATTGAAAGGAGGGGGAGGAGGGAATGTTGAAGGTATTTTCACCTGTATTCAGACTGTTCTGTACCTTGCAAAAGTGAAGTTATATTCCTTTTAAAGAAACATTATTTTCAACTGTAAATATACACTATTTCCTGTGACAAAAGAATATTTCATGCAGAGTAATAAAAGAATATTTCTGGTGATGAACTGCCCTAGAATGAAATGTTTCTCTTTCTTATTATAAATCTATACAAATGCTTTTAAAATATATTTGTTCATTATGATATATGCACAAGCATCCACATTTTTACATTGAAAATGTAAAAATGCCAAATATACTGGTGTGTGTCAACAAATATATTCATTCATCCATGCAAAAACACATCAGATGAATATTTGTATCATCCTTTGGTTTGCTACACACACACATGTACATATATAACACCAGAAGACTGACTACTTCTTTGGGTTTTTTATCAAATAATTGTACATTAACCCAAAATCATATGTAATAGGCTGCACTGCAAATACAATTAACAAAATTTTATTGCAAATGTCTTTAAACTTTGGGGAAGGTGTAAGCCAAAGGATATTTGTCAGTGCAGGTTGAAATGAACAATTCAATTTGAATGACAGTTTATTTAGCATCTTGTAAGTGTTTTCAGATGTCACTTTAACAGGTACTGCCTCTGGGGAAAAAAATACTCTGAAGACTTATGATAACCCAGAATCCTTATTTCATAACACTTTTAATTTAACATATTCAGGTGAATTTGGTAAACAATGACTCTAGCCAGTCATTACAAATTGAATGTATATGATACTTTTACAGTGATATTAGTAATTATTAGGGTGCTTGTCCTTTATGGTGTTCATTCTTGTTGAAAAGCAAAATTATAGAAAGCTGTCCAAATAATATTATGTTGATAATCTTTTCACAACTCCAGAAAGTCCAACATTTATTCTCTCAATGTCTCTGACATAAATATTTATCAGAAATCCATTTTTTTATAGTCAAGAATAATTATCTAAAATTTCTAGGTTGCACTATGAGCTTGATAACAAACCCAAGCAATATCTTTGAATTCAAACATAATTTTAATGTTTGAATAAATAATTAATGTTTAATGTTTATAGAAACTGAAAAAAAAATCATGCTCCTGTTTTAAACCTCTAACCCATTTTTCTCCCACTTAAGTCTTATTCCCAAAATATGTCAGTTCTGTGGTGAATATGGAAAATAGCAATGCAATTTTACAGGGTAAAATATATGCAACAAGAAGCAAAATTTTTAAAAAAATTGAATTATTGTTTCATATAACACAAAGTGAAGTTGTAGGATTTATTGTCTCAGGTTGCAGTAACAGTCAGAATGTAGGGACTAAGAAGTATGAAATCTTCTCAGTGACCATCAAACATGACTGTGTGGATGAGATTATCAGAGGCTTAGAAACCTCTGATAATCAATACTTGAGGGAGGCTGAGAATCTATGTTGTTTTCTAACTTGTTTTACATATTAACAGGTACTTTTGAAAATACTAGACCAATCAATGAACAATATGCTTAGTAAGTATATATTATAGTTTATAAAAAATTTAAATTTAAGTTTCAGTCCAGGAGATAATGCTAACTGCCATAGAAATTTTCCTAATTTTTTATAAATATATTTCTAAATTCAAAGATGAAAATGCACAAAAAAAAGGTGTAAAATTTTTTCCTGGGCTTTTAAATTGAAAATTAAATGTATGTGAAATACTAAAATAAAAGGAATTCAGCCCTAAGGAGAAGAATAAGAGACTGCAGCAGGTTTCACATTGGTGCTATTATGACATGTGAGCTTGAGCTCAACTTCTTTTGAAACTGAACTCTCTCTATGAATAGTAATATATTAATTATTTTATATGTGTATTAAATATATATATATATATTTATTTATAGTATAATAACTATTATATAGATTACATCAATAATTTATTATTAACAAAATATTTAACTAATTAAATATCTGTTTCATAGAGCAGATGTAATTTCTTGTATGAACTTGAGTTTGGACTTG